TTCAGCGTTTTAGAGTGCCCAATGTGCGGAATTTCTCTGTTAGGTATTTTTAGTCAGATAGACATTGGTTAGATACTTTATGCATTAGAAATGTTTAGTGTAGACAGGATGTCTAGCTCAGGCTGTTAAATGCTTAGTCATTCCCATGGGGGACTCCAGGTTGTTTATGTTCAAGGATAACTAGATAGAAAGTTGATTACTGTATGATATGTTTAATCATAATCGTAATCATAATATCTTCTTATGTTTAATGTCATGACATGTCACTGGATGTCCTGTCAGGATGTCTTAGATACACACCGCACAATCAACGGACAATCACACATTGATTTTCTTCATGTTTTGACTACTGCTATGGCCAGCTGCAAAGCTGGTACCGGGAGACGTCACGGATTGGCGTCTCCTGTTAGTATGGGATTAGCCCGAAATAATATAATGTATAGGCCTGTTGGGTTCAGGGTCTTTCATCCTTCAGCTGCCTGCGTGCATGTTGGAGGTGCAAGATACCTGAGCGTGTAATGTTAATTTTACCTGTGACCCTTTGAATAAATCAGCACTGTTTTGAAGCTACTTGGGCTGCCTCATCTCTCAGTTAGCTAGGTACAAAGAACTGGAATACAACATCTATATTATAGAAAAGGTATTCTGCTTACCTGCTTTTGTGAATGCCGGCCAGCAAATTGTCTGAAGGCTCCACCGATCTGACTTCGCTGGTCCTCTGTCGGACACTAGCTCGAAGTCGTTCTAATCCGGGTCCACGGCACCATTTGTTATAATTTAACCCAATTCTTTTGTTGGAAGCACAAGAAGTGAAGACAGGAGAGGACTGTTTAAAATCAACAAAGTTTACTGAATGTCTGATACCAGGAAAGTCTTTACAGCGCTGGATTCAGAGGGATAGAGCTCCCGCAGGAAAACCAACTTCTGAATCCCGAATCATGTTTTACAATGCATTTTATCTTCTTGGGCTGCTCCGCTCTGGACAGAGGTACAACATTCAACAGCTTTTTGATCCTATTGTCCGATTGTGGATGACACATGGGTAGCTAAAGACATTCTCCCACGACCTCTAGTAACATGTCGTGATCTTAAACATAAGAACATATTATGGCTAAGGCTACAGTTATACACATCATAATAATAATATTAAACACCCTGTCTGCTGACAGTCATCAACTCTTCTCTCTAGTTATCCTTGACCAGATGTACCCTGTAGAAACTCATAAGCATGACTAAGCATTTAACAGTCTAACTAGACATCCTATCTCCACTAAACATTTCTAATACATAAAGTATCTATCCAATATCTATCTGACTAAAAATACCTAACAGTGTCAACAGCTTTGAGCTCAGACATCCACCAGCTGCTGAGCACGGCCTGCATAGGAAACTAACCAGACAGCATTAATCGTTTAGAAAAACTGTATATAATCATGAGGAAACGGTTGTCACATGACCTGCATTGATCAACGACACCCTTGCAGACCGTGACACACAGTTACACTGATATCCATAACGTGCATTTATGTTTCACAGGTGTCAACCATACACCAGTACAACACCCGTTCACTACAGACCCCGACGGACCAGACATGTTGATGTTACAAGTGTCCAATCTGACTGACACACACACACACACACACACACACACACACACTCTCTCTCTCTCTCTCTCTCTCTCTGCCGGCTGTATAAAGACACATTTAGATTCCCTAAATGATCTGTTTTAATTTGGACATGAACTCTTTGTCCTAGTAAAACCACAGCACAAACTTGACTGTGCTACTTTAATCCAGGGTCACCTTCATATTGTACAGTAAAAATGACTATTTGTAACATTTTCATGAACTAGAACATAAGAATTTACCCAAAGAAAATATAAAACTAAAATAATCACTGCTGAAGAACAAAGGTAAACTAATAATTGTACTATTGTTCCTTTGAAGTTGTCAGTGCGTCCCAAAGCTCTGTGGCTGCAGCTGCAGACTGTGACCTGTAGATGGCGACACAGCACGAGGACACTACACGGTAACCTGAAGTGAGGTCAGTGTATCAGGGAGGAAACGTGGACGAGTCGCATGTTGACGTACAACATGGCCTGAAGTCAGTGGCTCACAGGTAGCAATGGGCTCTTCCAGTCTGAAACGAGTAGAGCAGACAGTTCAGTCTGATGTCAGTGATCAGCAAACTGTTTTTCACACCACACCGCTGCTCCGCAACTTTTAACTACAACTGAACCTATAATAAACTAGAAAACAGAACCGAGTCGAGGAATTAGAAACCAAACAAACTAATGAAACACAGGTGGAAACTCAGACTGAATCCAAAGATGATAAAAACATAACCACTGTGTGACCAACAGGAACTCAGTGACACAGCCTGATCAGTTCACACTGACCAGGCACAGTTTGTATCTGAGGGTCACAGGGTGACTGACAGATCAGCGGTGGGGGATGTAAACATACATACATACTGTACCAACATGATGCTGTAGAAGTTCTGCATTACACCTTAAAGTCCTGATTTCAGTCTTCAATACAATGCACAAGTATTAAAGAAAATAAAGTTCTCTGGCCCTGCAGCTGATACATCGTCAAATTAACATTAAGCAGCATTTAAGTGAGGAGCAGGTGGTTTTAACACTTTACATAAAGACGAACCTGACAGTCGTGACATGATTAGCAGGGAAATAAACACAAGTTCATCTGCAGGTTGGTTTTTATTTTTTACACTTTTCACTTTTTGTGAAATTCTGAGTAAATTTAACTGATCTGTAAGGAACAGGAACTTGAGAACCCAGGGGATCAGTTTAGGAGAAACATGTCTTTGGCGCCAACAGAGACACCTGATCTGGGACATGGGACCAATAGACTGACACTGGGGACTGACTGTAAAACCTGTCATGTGTCTTTAATGTAAAGTCTTTGTTACAGCCCTTGGTGTCAGTAATAAGCAGAGAGTCTCTACAGGTGCGGTGTGTTTATTTGCAGTCGGCAATGACCAGCTTCGAGCACCGTGAAAACTGAAATACAGAATAAACGTATAAAAAACACGTTTTGCTGCTTTAACATATGTAAAAAATGTGACTAACAATTACGAGAGATACGACACTTTACAGTCAGTGCATTTCTACAACCTTATACAAAGTAAGAACATATTTCACAAACCTCGCTGCGCTCACCAAGGCTGCAATAAAACCTGGATACCTTAGTTGCGTCTTTGGCCTGAAGCACTACTTGCTTGCGTGTTTCCTGAGATAAAAGATAGAAACAAAACGGGGTGAACGTATAGTGAGAAAAGTTACCAGAGAACTATGTAAGTATTTACATTAACAATAAGCATCAAACCAATAAACAATCCCCAGTACAAACAACGTTATGGTTTGCTTACATGCTCCACAGAGGTCATGAGGCGAGTGAAATGAAACTGGGAAAATTTAACAATACAACGCTTCCTCATTCACGTTCCGGGGGCAAACCTCTTCAGCGCCCTTATGCTGAGTTGATGATAATAAATCTGAGAGCGGATTTACGGTCATTTACAGTCTTATTTTCAGCTGAAGCAGAAGTAGACAGTTGCATAAAATGGAAATACTTAGGTACTCCAAAACTTTATTAAGTACAGTACTTAATAATAATAATAGTTTATTTATATAGCACTTTACAACTCTGCAGGAGCACAAAGTGCTTCACAAAAGGACACTAATATCCATCCATCCATCCATCCATTTTCTTCCGCTTATCCGGGGCCGGGTCGCGGGGGCAGCAGTCTAAGCAAAGATGCCCAGACCTCCCTCTCTCCAGACACTTCCTCCAGCTCCTCCGGGGGAA